AAATGAAATTAATAGGCAGCAGGTTTAAAACAAATACAAGGAAGTTCTTCTTCACACAGCGCACAATCTACTTGTGGAACTCCTTACCCTAGGAGGTTGTGAAGGCTAGGACTATAACAGTGTTTAAAAGAGAACTGGATAAATTCATGGTGGTTAAGTCCATTAATGGCTATTAGCCAGGATGGGTAAGGAACGGTGTCCCTAGCCTATGTTTGTCAGATGATGGAGATGGATGGCAGGAGAGAGATCACTTGATCATTACCTGTTAGGTTCACTCCCTCTGGGGCACCTGGCGTTGGCCACTGTCGGTAGACAGGATACTGAGCTAGGTGGACCTTTGGTCTGACCCAGTACGGCCATTCTTATGTTCTTATGTAAAGCAAAGATAAGGAAAGTTACAGAAAAAGAAATTAAGCAACTGAGGTGAACTGGTGGGTTGGATTTTAGTGATGTGTACAGATTTTTGTAACTTGTAATATCATCTAATAAATACTACCAGCTGAAATGTGTAACTTTCAAAGCACATCTTCTGTATAAGGTGAATGTACAACATGGATGAGACAGCCTCCCAGAAACTGATATTGTATTGAGCTTTTCTTCCTGTACTGTGCTATTTTTTACTTTTGACTGACATTGGTTGTTTGGTCTCTTGAGTATATTTCATACCAAACGAAAGTGTGGTCAAGCTATTGAGTATACAATTTATCAACAGAACTGTTTTGGACTTTTCTTACCCAGAATGGGTCCAGAGTAGATGTGACTTAACCAGAGGTCTATGATGTGCCTTAAGAAGCAATCAACAAGGGTGCTGGAGATGAAGATGCTTGCAATGCCATGCTCTGATGCCCGGGGGTGATATGAGGGTGGGTGGAACTGCTTACAATTCTCTTAATTGTAATTCTCCCAATTCAATTCTTGATAATTAAGCCTATACATTATCAATAAATCCCCAGCCTGAGCAGGGTATCAAGAGCAACAAGAAATCTAGTATAGGTAACTGGTTAGTTTAATTTACTTAACCAGTTTATGTTTTATGCCCCAGCGTTCTCACACACCACAGCCTTTTTGATTTTCTACTAACAATGTCTCACTGGCTAACGTGCAGCAAACCATAAATAAAATCAGACAGAATAAATGTTATTTTGCTGTCATCAAATCTGCTGAAACTCAAAATACATTTCAAATTCTGCAATTGAAAATCTGAGGAGCAGGGATTTATCAGCTCACACAGACCCAACACTGGATTTCTGAGATCTTGTGATGAATTCCCCAGTGCCTGGTTCTGGTTTTAATCCACTAGGAGACTTGCCAGAAGAGGCTTTATTGGGTCAGCACTGAATCTTAATCATTGATAAAACTACTCAGAGTGGAAGGCCAGATTCTGCAGCCTTTACCCATTTTGAATGCTCTGTTGCTCCATGAACAGTCCCATTGAAATCCATGAGACAGTGAGGTACAATGCAGTGTAAGTAAAGTCTGCAGAATTAGGCCCAGAATCATCACCACAAAGATGAGCTCCTAGCTCAACCCCACCCTCAGCCAGGAAACGGAAGCACTGATTGTCAGGTTTTCTCTGCAAAGTACACATTTGTAAAGCTACTATAATCAATATGGGTAATGACCATGGGGAGTGAGGAAGCGACTCATTAGACAGCCCTGTTCCATTCAACACCTTAATCTACCCCAGCACTCACAGAGTTTTACAGAAAGAACAACAACAACAAAATAATAATAATGTAGGGAACATACCTAGAGATAATAGAGCATCCTCTTCACAGCTTTTCTTCTGAGAAACCTTTTGCTTCTCTATAAGATTAAGAATTAAACATTTCATTGATAATACAAAAGCTGTCTGAAGTTATAGGGAGTATGATCAATAAAATAACATGAGATTTTCAATTACCAATGTCCAAAATTCAGTGACCCCTACATGGCCAAGTATCTGGGACCCTAAGCACAACAAGTGAGAAGTATTGGTCTCTGGCAGAGACAGGTTACTGGGCCAGATCGACCATTGCATGGGGATTCCTGTGTTTCACTTGGAAATGGAACTGCTGAATCTCTAAAAATAAACATGGCAAAGAAGCCAGACCTCCCCAGAGCTGGTATTGAAACCCCAGCCAGTTAAACCTGAGGAAGTCCCACTCCTCCAAAGCTTTCACAGGCCATAAGTCTGAGACAATCGCCACACTCATCAGTATTAGACTAGGGAAGCATAAGATGACCTTGATGGAAGGGAGCTCCCCTGGGTAGATTTAATAACAGACATTCTGAGAGGCAAAGGACTGGGGCTACGTCTTCACTACGGGGGGGGGGGGGTCGGGATTTAAGATACGCAAATTCAGCTATGCGAATAGCGTAGCTGAATTCGACGTATCGCAGCCGACTTACCCCGCTGTAAGGACGGTGGCAAAATTGACCTCCGCGGCTTCCCGTCGACGGCGCTTACTCCCACCTCTGCTGGTGAAGAGCGTCGATTCGGGGATCGATTGTCGCGTCCCGACGAGATGCGATAATTCGATCTCCGAGAGGTCAATTTCTACCCGCCGATTCAGGCGGATAGTGTAGACCTAGCCTGGGACTGCAGTATATTCGGTCCCATACAAACATATATCAAAATCGGGTCCTTGTTGCACAGAGCTGACAGTTTACAACATAAGACAAGAGGGATAAGAAAGATGGTGTTGGTGTTGGGGAGATCAATTGTGTATATATATGTTCTCCCCAATATATATATATATGTTCTTCCCATTCACAATGCTAACAATTCTTTGCCATTTTTCCTGATAATTGTTCTCTCTAAATCTGGTATCTTTAGTTTTTTTAAATGAATCTTTTGCAGGATTGTTTTCTGAAACAAAATCATGCTAAACTATGTGAATTGTAAGACAGTCACTCCTATGTTCTTAGCCTAGCACCCAGGGCCTGGGATAAAAAAAAAAGGGAATAACAGATTCCCATCACCTTTATATCCACAAAATGCCCAGGCTCCATTAGTAAGAAGAAGTAGCATAAATGATATCCAGAATGCAGCCAGCCAGGGAGAAGTATGTGGGAAAATGTCATCTGTGAAGCAAAGATATAACAGTGTATAAGGAACACAATCCCATCCCAGAGCTGGAGGAATGAGATTTTCCACCTCATTTGACTGTACAGTCATGGCTCAGTGATCCCCAGCAATTCCTAAGGATTGTGCTGTATGTAGGGAAGAAGCTCCGATTATATTTTCTTTGAGCTAGATTTGTAAAGGCATGAAGGTGACTAAAGATGCAGATAGGAATCTAGTGAGATTTTCAAAAGTGCCTAGACAGATAGATGCTTTTTGAAAATCCTAGTGAGCATCTATCTGCATCTTTAGGCACCTCAAAAAATTAACAGAATTATCTTTCTCTGTTCCACCTTTACATGGAAAGAGGCAGTGCTATTAGTGAATATAAATAGCCTGTGGATAGGGGGAAGCAGTAGGTGTGATATATCTTGATTTAATAAGGATTTTGACACAGTCCCACATGATATTCTCATAAGCACACTAGTGAAATGTGGCCTAGGTGGGTGCACAACTGGTTGAAAGACCGTACTCAAGGAGTAGTTATCAATGGTTCCCTGTCAAACTGGGAGGTTGTATCTAGTGGGGTCCCAGAGGGGTTAGTCCTGGGTCTGGTACTATTCAATATTTTCATTAATGACTTGGATAACAGAGTGAAGAATATGCTTATAATATTTGCAAATGACACCAAGCTCGGAGGAATTGCAAGCACTTGGGAGGACAAGATTAGAGTTCAAAACAACCTTGACAAACTGGAGAATTTCTCTGAATTCAACAAGATGAAATTCAATAAAGATAAATGCAAAGTGCTTCACTTAGGAAGAAAATAAATAAATGTACAACTACAAAATGGGGAATAATTGGCTAGGTGGCAGTACTGCTAAAAAGGATCTGGGGATTACAGTGGATCACAAATTGAATTTGAGTTTACAAACAAGTTGGATAAAAACCTGTCAGGGATGGTCTAGATTTACTTGGTCCTGCATCAGTGTAAGGGCTGTACTTGACTTCTCAAGGTACCTTCCAGCCCTATATTTCTATGATTCTATGACGCTATGTCTATCGCACAGTGAGTGGCACACTCTGCAATCTGTAAGGGAGACTTAAATTTCTCCTTCGTTTGTCACATGTTTTCTGCTACCTGAAATTTAAAAAGTCACATTTTGCTGTTTGTGTGTGGAAAGCCAAACATAGACAAAAGGAATACTCTCTTCAAAGGACAACTCCAGACCTAGATACAGCCGCAAAGGGGCTTTGGGAATATTTAAGCCTGAGGATCCAACACATCATGAGTTAAAAGAAACAAGGTTTTGTTTTGGTCTGACATTTCTCATGACTGCAAGTCAACAACAGAATTCTGTGCCCACTGGCCAACACCCGCTGGCTCATTGGGTGTCCTCATTATCAGTTAAACAAGGAACTTGAGAATGAAAAATGTCTTGACTGAGAATATTTCCCCACTCAATCTTAATGAATGGGCTGGGCCTCTCACACGTGGAATTCAGAGGCTTGGTACAAAAGGACTGTATGATTTCCAGCTCATGTAAATGTGTCCGCGCTAGCTCTGCTTGAGCTAGTGTGCTAAAAATACCAGCATGTCTGGGCTAGCATGCGTGGCTGCTTGTGCCAGCTGCTCTGAGTATGTACACAGGTGATCTGGATGGGTTGGTACTTGGGTGGCTAGCCTCAGCTGCTGTAATTATTACCCCGGCTACACTGCTGTTTTTAGCACTGCTTGTGCAGAGCTAGTACAGATATGTCTATGTGAGCAGGAATCACACCTCCAACCTCAAATGTAGACATAACCCTATGCCACAGCCCTCACTGCAGGCCCCAGAAATGTCTTTCCAAAGCTACAGAAACATGGCAACAACTGATTATTACAGTGGAGTTGGTCACAACCCCACCATTAATCTGTTACAGATTCCCTGTGGACAGTGGAAAGAATGATGAATATCTGCTGTTTTGTATTAATAAAAGAATAAAATTAAACATGTAAAATGGAGTTTGGTAAAGAGTCTCCCCCTGGCTTCTAGGGACACTCATGTCAGGCAGAGAGTAACACAACATTATTTATTGTCCAGAACTATTACACACTCAGTGAGTGTGTGAGACAATGAGTAAATTCTGTGCTCTACCTGATTTTGGGGAAGGGACCTAATCTCAATTCTGATTGGGCACTGTGAATGTTTAACAAAGTTTAGAGACATGACTGTGCTGGCATAGGGAGGGGAAACTGGAAGAGTCTCACAAGAAAAGTGATGGTACAGCCCCTATGACTGGTGACATAGTGAAATTCACTGGACTGCACTGCCCCATCCTGCACTGGCCCCAGTGAAAAGATGAGACGGTGACTAATTCTGTTTTCCATCCCGCACGTCTCAGATCCAGCCCCACAAAGACTGCCCCATAGGGATCCTGGTGAGACCATTTCTGGTCCCCCAAAAGCTCTCCCATTCTCAGCTGCTGCCATTGGTGGTGACGCTGTTCAGCAATAGCAACAAAATCCAAATTTTCTGAACAATCTGGGGAATAAGAGGCATGGGTGATGCCAAAGGCTGTAGAGAGGATACCTCTCTAGACCACTTGTTGCAGGGGGGTCAGGGTACAGGATATGGAGCCTTTCAACTCTCAGTAGCTATCTTCAAGCAAGCCAAGTGCTGTAACAAACTAAGGTAGCTACCACTGGATGGCTCTCTAGTGGCCTCTTTGTGCATTTAGTTGGTGGATCTCAGTCCAGTTCTTACAGCTTAGGTGTCCACATTACAGAAACCTGCACCACCAGGGGCAGCACCAACAAAAGGGAGAAAATTGTCCACCGTTTTTCTTCCTAAGCTACCTGAAATAGACAGTAGCTGAGGTGCAAGTTACAAATGAGGTAGGCCCCCTCCTCTCTTTTATACCCCTCTCCCTGGGATGGGAGTGACTCACCTGAGAGATGAATGGCAGATTCTCGCTCTGTCTTCAGTAGGCCATTCCGCACTATGCAGATAATCTCTGCTGGGCCCTCTCCTCCTGGGACAGTGACATGGCCCAGAACATTATATAGACTTTCATTGTCCTGAGTCATTCCAATCTTGGACTCCAGCGTCAGACTCTGCCCTTTGTTTCCAACCCACTGGAGTTCAGGTTTGGGGAACCACCCTGTGGATCTGCAGGCCAGCCCAATCCCCTGACCCTGGGGACCCAGCACATCAATGAACACTGGGGCAACAGCTGCAGAGAGAGAAAAAAAATAGATTCTTGATAACCAACACTCTACTGCTGACTAGTAAATAGCTCTGTAACCCACTGGGAAAGTGTGTGTCCAGCCCTCTCTGGCAGTTGGTCTAGAAAGGGCTGGCTAAGGAAGACGGCTTCTTTATATCATGATGCTGGAATTTTCATCCTGACAAGTGGTAAGATGATGGAGTAGACAAATCAAACAATCGACCAGCATTTTTACATATCTGTAACACATTAGCCTCAAGAATCAAAAAGGCCTTTACCAATGTAAAGCATTACATATTTAAAGATCACCCTCTGCTCAAGTGCAACAGCTTCTGGAGTGGAAACACGGTGGGTGTTGAAAAGCAACACTGCAACACTACACTTCAATTTAAGTCAGAAGGTGCAGCATGCTGACCCTACCTGTATCTCTGCACTTATTTCACAGGGCACACTCCTAAATTCCTGAAGTGGTGAGGACAAGTTTCATGAAAAAGGCAACACCTTCTGCAGCACATTGCCCCAAAGACTGCACTGGAGTCAGTGCTCAGAGGGAAAAGCAAACCTTACTGAGTCATTCACTCCATTCTCTGCAGCACAGTGCCCCTTAGCACCATGTTTGGACATTGGGATTAGTTAGTACTGGGACTGGTCTTATCCCTGGAGGAGCTGTTGCTGTTGCAGAGAAGGATCTTAAACTCTATGACAGAATACGCTCCTGTATTCACACCCTACAGACTATGGTAATAATCTTTGTACAAGGTATGCCTTGTAAGGGATCATTTAAAAACTCATAATTTGCTGGTCAGTTTTACCCTGATAAAATATGTGTGGCAACGTTACATGTGAAGTGCTAAGATTTCCCAGTAGGATGTGAAGAGTGTATGTTCAAAACTCATGTAGCACCAAACTGGTCAAACAGACCTGTCTTGAAGAAAGGAGTGTAAGTCTGCCTTAATTTCCATTTAATCAGTAAACAAAGTTATCAGGCAGGAAGTGGGGGACTGAAAATATAAAAAGAAGGGGCAAACATCCTCAAGACACCTCCTTTTCTCTCCCTGACTGTCTCTGGCATTGCACTTAAGAAGGCAAAGAAAAACAGCCATTAGACTGTCTGGGAGAGGGCTGGACAGTGTAGGACATATATATCTGGAGGCAAGTGGGTGACTGGGAGTCTGTTGGGGTCACCCTTCAGTACAACCCAGGCTGGTGAGACCTAGGGTGTGACTGGCAGGTTTCAGTTACACAAATACATGGGGGAGTAACCTGGATGCAGCTGGCTAGTTGTGAGCAGTCAAGTTGTAGGTTACAACAGCAAGGCATTGCAAGGCACCCCAGGTTACAGGGCAGGGCAGGACACAGTCCCTCACCGGTCTGCATTGTACTGCAGTATGGCACAGCCCCCCTGATTTCCAAAGAAGCTGACCCTGAAATATCTCACCTGCAATCTGTAGCTCAGTGTTGGCTTCGTGACTCCATGTAGGAGACTTCACAAAACAGATATATGTCCCGGCATCTGTAACATGGAGCCTCTTGAGCTTCAATGACACATTCCCATTCCTAAATTCCTGCTGGAACATCTCTGTCCGTCTCTGGTAGTTGTCTCCCGAGATGTCCAGGTTAGGTTGATTTTTGTACTGATGTACGTTTACATATCCAGCTTCACTGTGTGTCCCTTCAATTTTTGACCACAGCACTTCCATGTCTACAGGCCAAGTCCTGGGCAACAGCTGGCAGGGTAACACCACATCCTGGCCAACAATCCCTACAACAGGATAGGGTGATCCAGACAGGGAGAATTTCTCTGTAAGAAACGTTCCCAAGAGTGGAGTGAAAGGGACATTCTGTTCATAGGAGGAGAGGTATTCACCAAAAATTAAATGTTCATAGATTCCAAGGCCGTAGGGGACCTTTGTGATCAAAATTAAGATATCCAGTTACAACAAGGGTGGGAATTAGACACACATGCAGAACACAATTGATTAGCAGTACGTCACCATAACCACTCAGCCACTTCATCTGATAACCTCAGAAAAGTAAGTGCTCAGAGACGTTCAGCTGACCCCAATCTGTACAAATGTGTGTGAATATTCCATCAGGTATTAACAATAGAGCTGAATGAACTGAGTTTTGTGGTTGGGTGGTTAAATCAAAAAATCTGTTTGGGTTTTTTGTTTTGTTTTTCATTTTGTTTTGTTTTTTGGTGGTATTTACACTTTTTGGGAGGTTTTCTCTTTTTTAAAAAAAGAAATATAGCTACATTTCTAAACAAAATATCTTTGAAATAAAAAGTTGAAACCTTTCATTTGAAAATATTGAAACAAAACATTTTAACTTTAAAAAAAATGTTTTTTTTTCTTTTTGGCCCAAACAGAATTTCAGGAATAATTTGGGTTGACCTAAAACTGCCTTTTTGGTGACTAAACTATTTGCCAAAAGATGTTGGCCTGCTCTAATTCATAACCCCTTTTTACTCCCTTGGTCACACATTCTTCTGCAGGGGTGAATATTTAGTGATTATTTTTGGCTATTTCCAGACACACATAACCATGTGCTCTCACTTGCTGCTGTGTATGAAAATCTCCGCTGTTGATCTGATCTGATCCAGGACATCTCCCTCTCTAAAATCTATGATTAATTTTCCTCTGTCTATCACACTGGTGTCTGTGACCTGTCCCTACCCAGCTTATTAGATCCGAAAGAACAAATTAACAAGACTGGTGGATGAAGACTGACCCTGCAGCCTCTTTTCACCCAGACACCATCACTTCCCTCTATAGCCATTGCAGTTGTCAGTGGAAGAATTTGTGCGGTGAAACCCAACCCATACCAAGGCTTGTGTATTCTCACTGGATCCAAGGGGCAGAGCCTCTATGCCAAAAGAGAGAGCTCTCCCATCGGCATAATTACTCCACTTCCCTGAGTGGTGGTAGCTATGTCAGCGGGCCAGCTTCTCCTGCCTACATAGCAATGTCCACAGCAGTGCTTAGGTTGGTGTAACATACTTTCCTTAGGGAAGTGACTTTTCCATACCCCTGAGTGAGTTGTTATGCTGATGGAAATGCTAGTGTGTGCAAGCTGTAAGTGTAAACTCCACTCATTCCCCCTCTAGTGCTGCCGGGGCCACAGGCAGAAGTGGATGAGACTACTGCAGCCTCAGCTATCAGAAGAGTGTCACTTAGCTCAGGAATAGCAGCTCGTGGTTTCAGAACCCAAAGTCCCAGTTCAATCCCTACTGCCAACGATTGACCCTAGGGTGTGTTGTTACCTAAGGAATCAAATTCCCTTTGCAAATGGCAGCACAGTGGGGTAACCCTCCCTGAAAGGCAGCTCAGAGTGTAAAAGCTACAGGATCTAAGCTCACATTGACAACTCTATGTCTGCTTCTCAAAAATTTTATAATGGCCTCTTCAATCAATGGCCTGTGCTATACTGGAGGTCAAACTAGATTATCATAATGGTCCCTTCTAGCCTTGGAATCTATGAATCTATGTGACTGAAGAGCCCTTTTTTAAATAGTTGTTTCCCTGCAGGTACTTACAGACTAATCAAGTTATCCCATAACCTTCTCTTTGTTAAGAGCAAAAGATTGAGTTAATTGATTCCATCACTATAAGGCAGTTCTCTAATCCTTTAATCATCTTATGGCTCTTCTCTGAACCCTCTCCAATTTATCAACATCCTTCTTGAACTGCACACCAGAACTGGACACAGGATTTGAGGGAGAGAAGGTGGGTGAAGTAATATCTTTTATTGGACCAACTTCTGGGGGTGAGAAAGACAAGCTTCCGAGCTTATGCAGAGCTCTTCTTAAGCTTGTTTCTCTCACCAACAAAAGTTGGTTTAGAATCATAGAATCATAGAAAATTAGGGTTGGAAGAGACCTCAGGAGGTCATCTAGTCCAATCCATTGCTCAAAGCAGGACCAACACCAACTAAATCATCCCAGCCAGGGCTTTGTCAAGCCAGGCCTTTAAAACCTCTGAGGATGGAGATTTCACCACCCTCCTAGTGAAATAGTGTTTCCTAATATCCAACCTAGACCTCCCCCACTGCAACTTGAGACCATTGCTTCTTGTTCTGCCATCTGCCACCACTGAGAACAGTCTAGCTCCATCCTCTTTGGAACCCCCCCTTCAGGTAGTTGAATCCTACTATCAAATACCCCCTCACTCTACTCTTCTGCAGACTAAATAACCTCAGTTCCCTCAGCCTCTCCTCATAAGTCTAGTAAAAGACATAACCTCACCCACCTTGTCTCTCTTTTATCCTGGGATTGACCCAGCTACAACAATACAGTTTTCTAGAGTGGTTACAGCAGTGCCAATAACAGAGGTAATGTAACCTCTCCACTCCTACTTGAGAGACCTCTATTTATGAATCCAATGATCACATTAGACCTTTTTGGTCACACCGTAATACTTGAAGCTCATGTTTCAGCTGATTGTCGACCAAGAACCCTGAAACTTTTTCAGAGTCTTTGCTCCCACAATAGAGTCCCCCATCCTCTAGGTACAGTCTGCAGTCTTTGTTCCTAGATGTATACATTTCCATTTACCCATTTTGTCATTTAATTCCATCCCTGCCCCTTCCCTCCCCCAGAACTTGCCTCTTTCTGAAGCATCCCACTCTGTCAGGAAGTTCATGGGGCCTAAGAGCACAGTGTCTCCAAATCCCACCCCATGGGGGCAGGATACTGGTGTTGTGGGACACTGGTGAGGATTGTATGCGGAGGTTGGACAGTTCTTGCTCAAGTTATGTTGTTTCTGGGTTATTTCACTTGATGCTGACAGCACTTAGTGCTGATATTAATTTACTTAAGAGTATTTTTAAATCCATTTCCCAGGGTGCCCAGGGCAATGGAGGGGCACTTTTTATTATTCTAGTTTGTGAAAGCCCAAATAGATAAGTTAAAGGGAGGAAAGTGGATTGAAACTGGTTTTACCAGAAACAGAATGGGTCAGCAGGAGGAGAATTCCCAGGAAGTCTGCACAGAGCTGTCGTGGAGCCATCAGGGTAGGTGGGATTCATCAGGCAAGGTCCTGAAAGGGAAAGAGCAATGAAAATAAGACCCCACTATGGGGATACCATGTGAGGGGAGCAGCAGGTCCCGTGCCCTGTATGTCTGACTGACTCAATATGTTCTACTCAGACTCTACAATCAGAAACCAGCATTTCACCAGGGACTGGCGAGGGGATTGTCCCTGTTATGCTGTTCTGGGTCTTTCTCAATTTTACCCAGAAGGGACTGTAACTGACACAAGGGACTTCACAGAAATAACAGCTTCTGCCCCATTGAAAGCAATGAGTCCCAACAGAACCAATAGAAAACACATTCTAGCCAGAGTGCAGAGGGGGGACACATGAGCTCTTTGCATGTGAGTGTATAAATCCCTGCAGTGAAATGGACCCAGGGGCCCATCTACTCCAATATCCCATCTCTGATGCCGGCCAGCACCTGCTGCTGGAAGCTGCATGAAACCCTGCAGTAAGTAGTTATGGGATAAGGTGACTATTAAAGAGCTTTATTCCCAGCCCCTGTCAGTTACAGCCAGGCTCATACACTGAAGCTGGAGGACTTATAATCCCTCCAGAACCCTTGGGGTTTTTGTTTTAGTCGTTAACCCTTATTGTTGTAATTCTTGACCCTTCTAGAGAGCCAGGGACCACCTTCTCCATTGGTACTTTATTCCTCTCTATAGCGAGCCCCCGCATTGTGGGGGACCCTCCCACCAAAGAAATCTGTCTTATGCCTTCTCAGTGCTGCTTCCTATGTCACCAGAGGTACATGAGGTATTCCCCTCCTCCCTCCTCCCCAGAGCTGGGCATGTGCTCTGCACATTTCTCCCAGCCCCCTGGCACAGAGACTGGACTTTGGCTGCCCAACGGAAAGCACTTTCTGTTATCGCTCAGCAGCCCAGCCCCAGAGCAAAGGGTAAGTGTCTGCCCATGTCTACTGACAGCTTGAAACAAGAGCTGTGATGTGGGGGAGGGAACCACCCTGTGCATCTCCAGGGGGTGTTAACACCAAGCCCCTGCTGCTGTGGGTAAATCCCGCCAATGATCTGTGGTGTGTGCGGCAGAAAGAAAGGGCTCAGCCCATTAATGTTAGTACATCCACCCAGCTGCTGGAGTAAGTACTGGGGACTCTACTGCTGCCCCCACCGAAGGAAGAGGGGGTGCCTGTTCCTCCCAATCGACTCCATGCTGCTTGGTCTCTGTTTATGGGTAGGAAAGCCCCCCTGTCACTGCCACTCCAAGGGGAGGCAGGACCACAGTGTCACAATATTTGAGTTCATTAAACAACAAACCAGTGAATGGGAGAGGAACAAAACTTTTCTTAAATAAACTAGAGAGTGTCTGTGGTGAACTCCTGTGCACAGATAGCCTGTGTTCTCCACCCCTGATCCCAGGGCATGCTGCAAAATCACCATAGAGCCTCTCTAAACTATAAACTTGCACAAACATATCTCTACATCTTCCCGCTTAAAAAACAAAAAGCAAAGAGACAAACAAAACCAATTAGCTCCTACATATAAACACCTAACAGCTATCTAATAACATATACATTACATTCTCAACCCAGCCAGTACATTTCCATAAACCCAATGTGTCAACTACCTAGAGAGGAGAAGTTATCAGCACACAAAGCTGGAGTGAATTTTACTACTCACTTTCCTCAAATATCCCTTCTCCAGGCAAGTTAGCAAGTCTTTATGTGTCTTTCAGTACGTTTAATTTCCCTCTCTGGTCTTCTCAGGATAAGCCTTTCATTACAGTGTGAGCAGAGGTGAAAGTAAGCCGGTATGGTCTGGTATGGCGTACTGGCAAGAGCCGGTATGCCATGCCAGACTAGACTGGCTTCCCCAGGCTGGCGATTTAAAGCGCCCAGGGCTCCCTGCAGCAGCAGGAGCCTTGGGCCCTTTAAATCACTTCCCGAGCCCCGCTGCTGGGAGCTCCAGACCTTTAAAGCGCCGCCCGAGCCCCACTGCCAGAGCCATGGGGTAGCGGCTGCAGGGCTCCGGCGGTGATTTAAAGGACCAGGGGTTCCCCACAGCGGCTGGAGCCCCGGGCCCTTTAAAGCGCCACCTGAGCCCCACTGCCGGAACCCCAGGTAGTGGTGGCAGGGCTCCAGTGGTGATTTAAAGGGTCAGGGGCTCCAGCCACTGCGGGGAGCCCTGGGCCCCTTAAAGTGCCACCAAGCCCCACTGCCAGAGCCCCAGGGTAGCAGGGCTCCAGCCATGATTTAAAGGGCTACTGCAGCCCCAGGCCCTTTAAATCTCGGCTGGAGCCCTGGGGTAGCATATGTGTAACTGGCAATTATTTTTCTCCACAATGACTAGGGAGCTCACCCATTCCATTGGCTCCTCAATTTTTTTTGTATTACTTGCATTGCTTCCATCCTTTCGATCTTAGCCTTGAGTTTATCATGAAGTGCAAATGGCCCCTTTCTACATGGATGGATATCTGGAGGGGCCTGCTTGTTTATCTGGATTATGTACATGTAAAAGAAATGTGCATCTCTGAAAGGTCTCATTCCTTTCTGGCATGTAATGTTCCTCACAGTTAGTCAGTACTTGAACTCAACTTCATGCTTTCACCCTCTTCAAACTTAAAGTTGTTATAAATATCCAATGCTTCCTCCCCAACAACATGCATAAAGATTGATGACTGCACTGTATCATTTTTCTCCTCTGTCCCTACAGCTGACAATTACAATTCAAATCTCTGTTGGAATTTTTTCCAGTTCTCTGCAACATTACCTGACAATTGTAGACTAGGTTCTTAAACTAGTCAAGCAGCTATTGGGCTCTTAAAATACATACAAAAGCTTCTGTTTCTTCCCTGTTTTTCTCCTTCTCTGCTCCACCTGCTCCTCTTTCCTCTGCTTTCAGTTTCAAACACAGGAGTTAACCTCAAGGTGACTGCTGCAGTCTCCTTCTCATTCGGCACTTCTGACACCATGGAATGATCTTGGGGTCCATTAAACAACAAACCAGTGAATGAGAAAGGATTAAAGCTTTTATTAAAAAACAAACTAGAGAGTGTCTGTGGTGAACACTGTGCTCTGCATCCCGGCTTCCAGGGCATGGCTCAAAATTCCTATATTCATAATACTGTCCCTTATGATGAAAGCTCTCTAAATTATAATCTTGCACAAACATATCTCTACACATGCACAGGAATGGGGACATAGGAGTGAAGCCGCCAAGCTCCCCGCCCTTCCCCCGACCCTCCTCCCCTTGCATTGTCATGGCTGGCATGTGGCTCTGGATTGCCTTATTCCAGCCCAAACAGAACAACACACAGGGCAGCTCTCGCATCTCCAGAACCTCCCATTTTCTATCCAGGTCTCCCTCTCAGGACAGCAGCCCAGCTGTTGGCTCACAGAGGCCTCTCCCAACTGGGACCCAGAAACTCTTGCTAGTCTTTCCCCCCAAAGCCTCACAGCACCATCTGGCTGAGTGGCATCTCTTAAGGGTTTTGTGGTGTACTGAGGACAATGCTGGAATTATTAACGATCACTCTGAGAATGGTGGGGTTTCCTTGTCCTGCTTGCAGGTTAGAGAGCTTTGTAGGGAAGCATGCAGGTAGCATCAGTCTCAAAAGACCCAGCCTAGAGCAAAATGGCATGAAAGGGGTCTCTCTGCCATGGGGAGTAGCCTCATTTGCCACTGTTTGGTTTTGGTTACTGGTTGTTATTGTCCTGGCTTCTAGGAATGAGCAGTGTTACAGTGCAACCTTCCAGCAACAGTATTTATGTTTTTATCTAACTTCTCTCTGTGTGTGCCCTGAACATAACAGACATCACTGAGGCAGGGCTGTGATTCTTTGCTAGAAATCATGTGGCAAATCTATACACCCTGTTACACCCCACTATCAAAAGGTCTTGACTTCCACTCACAAACACCACAAGGCAACATGATACAATAAGTAAATTAAGGACAGAGCAAGGAATCACACATCATTGTGGTTTGTCCCTCACTGATGATGGGAGATGGGAATGGACTGTCACACAGGTGAAAATGTTCCCAGGGACAGTTACAGGCTGCTTGGAAAAGTGCGCGGGCCCAGAGGATGATGGAGAGGAACCTACCTCAGTGCTTCAAAATGTCCCTTGAGCTGGAAGAGTCTCAATTCAAACATCCATGAAGATATCTCCTGTGTCACACTAAAAACCCAACAAACTGAAATGGGAACTGTGCGTGAGGGACGAAGAGTGAATGTATCTTCCACCTCCTCAACAAAGGGATTGATTCTGAACTGTGATCAGGGAAAGTGAAAGCACAACAGAGCTGGTTATATATTAACCTTTCAGAAGGGTAGCCATGTTAGTCTGTATCAGAAAAAAACAATGAGGAGTCCTTGTGGCACCTTAGAGGCCACATCCACCCTGACTGAAATGGCCTCCTTAGCACTACGAAAAGTAATTTTCCCTCTGTTGATATTCATCTCATCTTGTCAACTGTTGGGAATGGGCCACATCCACCCTGATAGAATTGGCCTCGTTAGCACTGACCCCCCACTTGGTAAGGAAACTCCCATCTTTTCATGTGCTGTATAAATATACCTGCCTACTGTATTTTTCACTCCATGCATCTGATGAAGTGGGTTATTGCCCATGAAAGCGCATGCCCAAATAAATTTGTTAGTCTCTAAGGTGCCACAAGGACTCCTTGTTTTTATAGTAACCTTTAATACTAGTAACTTCTCCGATAAAGAATTTTTCAGTTCAAGGGAAGAACCAAAATTTTTGGAGAAAAAAATTTTGTTCATGTTAAACTGAAATGGATTTTTTTTCTTACCAGAACTAATTCATCCCAACAACCCCAACCCCACTTTTTTAATGTAAAACACCAGAAATGAAAACTAAACAGAATGGAAAACTAAAACAAAACAAGGGGTTTTCATTTGTTTATTTATTTAAAAAAAAACAAATTCAACTAATTTTCTGAACAAAATGTTTCAAAATTAAAAGTCAAAAGCATTGTTTTGAAATTATCAAAACAAACCATTTTGTTTTCATAAAAAAAAACATTTTTCA